GTTGACTTCTATTTTTTTTTTTAAATTTTTGTTTATTGGGGGGGGCAGCTCAGCCCACCAGGGGGCGGGGCTGGCTGGCATATTGAACCGCGGTCCCTGAGCTTTGCTAAGCTTGTTCTAAGTAGGTGCTTTAGACCACTGAGCCATCTCACCAGCCCCTGACTTCTATTTTTAACAAGCAGTTGTTTTAATTTGAAAAGGTTTAGTAGTAGATATAATAAGTAATATTTCTCCTTCATAATCACTATCAATAGTTGCCAAATGTACAAATACACCTTGGGTAATAATGCTACTCCTTTCTACAAGCAGAGCTTCTTTTGGAATAGGACTGAAAACTCCAATTTTAATTTTGTAAACTACACAAGCTTGGAGCAAAAGCTGATTTTCTGCAGCCATCAGATCTAAGCCAGGCTTCTACTTCTGGAGGTTGCAAGGAAAAGATCTGCAGCCCTGTGTTTGATTGAAATTTGGGCTGGCCAGTGGAACTGTGGGTGTCCTGTATTGTACATCTCTGAGCCCCTGGATGATGGACCTATTCTCCAGTTTCCCTGAGATTGTAAGGGTTGGCCATGCTTATCAAGTTTGCAGTGGCATTTATTAACCCAATGTTTACCTTTCCACATCTCAGACCAGGTCCTTGAGCAGTCTTGTTATTCTTATCTACTTTTTTCTTTTTATCTTGTCCTTTTCTGCAATCTTTTCTCACATGACCCATCTTTTCACACTGAAAACATTTGGTATGATTTTGTTTAAAAAAAAGGAGGGGGGCTGGGGAGATAGCGCAATAGAATAAGCGCTTGCCTGGCAAGCACAAGGTCTTGAGTTCAATTCCCAGTTCTGCAACAAAATAAATAAATAAATAAATAAAAATTTTAAAAAAGATTGTTGAGGCCGGGGAGATGGCTCAGTAGAATATGCGCTTCCCTGGCAAGCGCAAGGGCCTGAGTTCAATCCCGGGTTCTGCCAATAAATAAATAAATAAATAAATTTTTAAAAAAGACCGTAAGGCAGCTGCCAATAAATCAGGTATGGTTCTGAGACAATATCAGGGTAGGCCTTAATATATTCTTCCAGTGATATACCCTGTGCCATTAAGGAGCAAAGAACCTTCTGACATTCAGTATTCACATTCTCAAAAGCCAAAGTTTAGGGGCTGGGGAGAGAGCTCAGTAGAATAAGTGCTTGCCTAACAAGCACAAGGGCCTGAGTTCAATCCCCAGTTCCGCCACAAAAAAAAAAAAAAAAAAAAAAAGTCAAAATTTGTAACAACTTTCTCAGATCTGGTGCTCTCAAGGTTTTGTGTATAGCCTCCCCTAATCAGGAAACAAAACCTCTATGTGGCTCCTTATTAGATTGGGGAACCTTAGCAAATGACTTTTGCGCATCCCCTGGCCTTTCCACCTTTTCCCACCCCCTCAAGCAACAAATGTGAGTTTGCGCAACAGCCACATCATCACATTGCAACTGGACTTGGACACCCAGCCAGGCCCCTGACCCCGTGAGCTGATCTGATGAAACGTGAACTGGGGGGATTTTTGTCCCCTGTCAACCCTCTCTTGAACATCTGCTTCATCTTTCCACCAAGTTCTAAACTGCACTTATTGGCTTGGCTCTAGAATTGTACGGCACGAAACTTCCCAATCATGAGGAATTCATCTCTGCTCATTTGCTAGTCCTTGTATTAATCCAATCACATAGGTGGATTGCATACCATAGGCCATGACAGCCCGCTTTAAATCTTTAATAACCTTGAATGCCAGAGGTTGGGGTTCCCACTCTCCATAGCCCTGGGGAAATTGAGCATTTGGGGGGTGTTATTGGACCACCACAGGAAAAATACCCAAAGGGACAGAATAAGCTTCAGGGTCTCCCTTGCATAAGAGCCTGAGATATCACACTTTCATAAATTTTTATCGGGGCTTTCTTTTTCTCATCATGTGGAAGAGCAGAAGAGTTAAAAGATGGTGGTTGGGGCTGATTTTTTGTGAACTGAAATGGAGGAACTACAGGGATAAAGACCTCTATTTTTTCAATCAATTTAGAAAGCAGTTGTGATAACTGCCTTACCTTGGCTCCAGCTCACGTACCTTATTCTTAGTTTCCTTTTGTTCTACATCCTCCAAATCCTCAGATTCTGAGGAAGTGGTTTGTGATACCATAAATGTCCTTTTAGGACCCAGTTTGTCAGTCACACCCCACTATAAAGCATCAAGAAATTTAAGGGCCAGAGAGATAGCTCAGTAGAATAAGCTCTTGCCTGGCAAGTGCAGGGTCCTAAATTCAATCCCCCATGGTGTGTGGGGGGGGGGTAAAAAACCGACACTCAGTATGCTGGGGAGTGCCTTCATGTAGGGGATCTTAAAGGTGTGCAACCTTATCATAAGTATGCACCACAGAGGCCCCCTGCTCTATTTTTGTCCTTTTTTCAATGCTAGCATCCGCATTTCAGGGTGAAGAAGGAAGAAGTCTTAAAAATTCTCATGTGCAGATTCACATTTGTGCGGAAGCTGCTCTTGAGGCTTAGCAATATCAGCATCTGAGGCTGACCTTTTCAAATATTTCTTAGACTCTTCTGAGTCCAATTGCAATGTTCCAAAGCTAAGGAAAGTAAACTACAAAGAGCCCACACCTGAAGAGGAATTGGTTCCCCATTTTGGTGAGCATGAGGCAGCGTTCTCATAACTTGTTTCCAAACTTTAAAGCAGCCTTTCCCTTAGACTAAAATCAGTAACAATGCCTTTTTTTAAGGGAAAATAATTCCTCAAAACTCTTTGGCTTCATCTTTACACCTGTTCCTTTGAGTACCATCTGAATAAGATGGACATACTTACTCATTGTCTAGTGAAGCGGAGTTTCCCATTACTCTGAGCTTTTCCCACTGGTCTCGCCTACTCTGGGCGTGTTTTCCCCTCGCGGTGAGACCTCTCTTAACTCACCCCTGGCCATCTTCTGTGCCCCAGGTCGCGCCACTTGTTGTATGTTATGAGTTGGTGCTGAAAGAAATGACGAGAAGACCCAATGAATATAACTTCAGAGGTCTCACTGAGATTAGTCTCTCTCTCTAAGTGAGCCCAGAGCCACAGAAGCATCTCACATTCATTTTTTTTTTTGGTTCCTCGAATGCCTTCAGGGCACTTTTGGCCAGCGGGAGAGGTGTGAGGTTCGAACTCCAGCAACCTGAGGCTGAGAGCTTTGTGGAAGCAGCCACTTAAAGGCCTGAGCTAGGGCCAGGCCCCCTCACATTCATTTTTAAAAAAATATTTTTCTCACATTTAGTGAGAGCTAAAGACAGGCTAAGGAATGTGCATAATTACTTTGGTGAACACAAACTACTTTCTCTATCGACTTCCAACATTTGCCTAACACTAAGCTTACACACTGCTTGCTGTGAACACCCCAACCAAGAGATCAAAGGACAGACATGGTGCCAGCAGGAGAAACTGGTATCTGCAGCCTTAAATCCCAGCTTGCCTGAATTTACAAGTGAGACAGCAGCTCTCCTTAGGCTCTGTGTATTGTCCTTGCTCCCTTGGGACATTAGGCTTTTGTCTCATATCTATATTTCTATACCCAGGCCCAACAAATGCCAACTGACTATTGGTATCTCCCTTGGTACCCATTGTTTCTCTAGGTTCCGGCCCCTGTTCACTCGCCTGCCTCAGCTAAGGGCACAATGCCTGCAGGAGTCTCCTCCGAGTTCCTATTCTTGGTGCTGAACGTAGGTAAGTGCCAGGAGCAGGCGTGGGAGGTGGGGTGCCTGAAGTGGGAAGGTGGGGGTAGGGCAGGGGTCCTTGGGGGATGGCTGACTCTTCTCTCCCACCCAGCACTCTGCCCAGTGGTCACCCAGGGTAAGGAAGTGGTGCTGGGCAACGAAGGGGGCACCGCAGAGCTGCCCTGCTCAGTGTCCCAGAAGAGGAGCATGTCCTTCAGCTGGAAATTTCCCAACAACACCAAGATCCTGGCACGAACGAACACCTACCTGACTCGAGGTAACAGTCCCCTGCCTCATCTGTGGACTCAAAACACGCCCACCCCCACCTCCACCGGGAAACCCTACCCCCGCTTGAGGGATCTGCTCGAAGATACTCTGGGCCCCCAGGGGGCTGGTGTGTTGGAAACTCAGTAGCACTCTTAGCTGCAATTTCCGCAGGCAAACTACTGCTATATTGATTACAATATCTTGATATTCATGATCTTATTTTAATGAGTAGTGGAAAAATAACTATCTCATAAAATGCATCATAAGAATAGTATTACCACAGGCCCATGTAGAGTACTTTATTTCCATTAAAAGCATGTGCACCACCTTCTTCTTCTCCTTCTCCTTCTCCTCCCCCAGCCCCTCCAGATCTAACTCTTGGAACCTTGTGCTTGCCAGGCAGGTGCTTATGACACTGAGTTATACCGCCAGCCCCTTACATTGTTTTTTTTGGTGTTTTTTTTTTTTTTTTTTTTTGCAGAACCGGGGACTGAACTCAGGCCCTTGCACTTGCCAGGCAAGCGCTTATTCTACTGAGCTATCTCCCCAGCCCCTACATTGCTTATTTTTTAAACTTCTCTTTTCATTACTAAAAAATCCCAAACATATATACAAGTACAATGACTGTATAATAACCTCCCGTGTATATCATTCAGCTTCAACAATTATAGATTTATAGTTGTATTTCTTCTCCATCCCCACTCCAACCCCACTACCACATCATTTTGTCACAAATGCTGAAGATTTTGTCATTTAACCTATGGATTCTTCATAGACTTTTATTTTTTTTTTATTTTTTTTATTTTTAGGGAAGGGTCTACTGGGTGTTCAGGGTCTCACTACTAGATCGGACTCATAGTGATCCACCTGTTTACAGCCTCCCAAGAGCTGGGATTACAGGCTGTGTGCTACCACACTTGGTCTCAATCACTGTCTCAGCGTGGTGGGGGGCGGCACAGCAGGCCCAGGGATTGAACCCCTGGCCCCTACTCCTGCTTGCAGGTGCTTTAATCCACTGGACTATTTGGCCAGCCCTCATAGACTTATTTATTTGTTTGTTTATTTATTTATTTATTTATTGTGGAACCAGGGATTGAACTCAGACCCTTGTGCTTGCCAGGGAAGCGCTTATTCCACTGAGCCATCTCCCTGGCCCCCTCATAGACTATTTTAAGTTCTAAATTTTAATTACTGTTTTGCTGGACATGGTGATGCATGTTGGTAATCCCAGCACTCTGGGAGACTGAGACAGTAGGATTGCCCAGCCTGGGCACTTTAGTGATTTAGCAAGATCCTATTTCATTGAAATAAAATGGCTGGGGCTATAGCTTAATACAAAGACCCTGGGTTCAACTTTCAGTATTAAATAAATAAATTTTTTATTTTTTATTTTTTAAATAAATAAATTCTTTTTGGGGGGGCGGAACCAGGGATTGAACTTGGGCCCTTGAGCTTACCAGACAAGTGCTTATTCTACTGAGATATCTCCCCAGCTCCCCTAAATAAATAAATTCTTTAAAAAAGAATTTACCTAAAAATTAAAAAAAAAAAAAAAAAAGGCTGGTGAGATGGCTCAGTGGTCTAAAGCACCTACTTAGAACAAGCTTAGCAAAGCACAGGGACCGCGGTTCAATCCCCCAGCACCACATGCCAGCCAGCCCCGCCCCCTGGTGGGCTGAGCTGGCCACACACACACATAAATAAAAATTAAAAAAAAAGAATTTACCAAGCCAGGTGTGGAAGTACACATCTGTAATCCCAGCACTTGGGGGGCTGAGACAGGAGGAACTACATAGCCTGGACTACACAGCGAGACCCTGTTTCAAAGAAAAAGAGTTTACCAGGGCTGAGGGTATAGCTCAGTGGTGTGGTAGTATACTTGTCTATTCAAGGCCCCCCAGGTGGGATATTTGGTACCAAATGAGCAAAAAATCAAATTCCCATAATGTTATTATCATGTTTTAAAAGTTAAAATTGTGCCATGCCAGCCCCACCCCCTGGGCATGTTGAGACAGCACTGAGACTGGGTATGGTGGCACGTACCTGTAATCCCAGCGCTTGGGAGGCTGAGAACAGAAGGATCACTATGAGTCTGATCTGTGTAGTGGGACCCTGTAGACCTGTAAACCCTGTACTTAATACAAAAGAAAGAAGGAAGGAAGGAAGGAAGGAAGGAAGGAAGGAAGGAAGGAAGGAAAGAAAGAAAGAAAGAAAGAAAGAAAGAAAGAAAGAAAGAAAGAAAGAAAGAAAGAAAGAAAGAAAGTTAAAATCAATTCCTTAAATACAATAAATGTCCACAGGCTGGAAATAAGGCTTCAGTGGCATAGCACCCACCTGGTAAGCACAAGGTCTTGAGTTTGATTCCCAGTACCAACAAAAAATACCAATAAATACCTAGTCATTGTTCAATTTCCACAGTTACCTCATAATATTGCTTTTACTTTTTTTTTGAGTCAGTATCCAAAATGCGACCTCTCTCTCTCTCTCTCTCTCTCTCTCTCTCTCTCTCTCTCTCTTTGTGCTGGGAATTGAGCTCAGGACCTTATGCTTGCCATACTGGCGATGTGCCACCAAGTTAACTCTCTCTGAATTTATACTTTTACTCTCCTTTTTTACCCTTCTCACAATTGATTAATTGGAAAAAGCAGACAACTATTCTATCAATATTTGTACTCTCCTGGTTGGAGTTAGCTGACTTCTCAGTGTCACTGACTGTGTTCCTGACCTTTGACTCCCCTATTGATTGGAAGTTAGATGGGGAGACTCAATTAGCTCATACACAACTTTAAAAAAATTTCTTTTTTTCTGTATTTTTAGGGAAGGATCCACAGGGTGTTCAGTGTCTTACTACTAGATCGGACTTATAGTGATTCTGTTTACAGCCTTCTAAGAGCTGGGATTACAGGCATGTGCCACCATGCCCAGTCTCAATTGCCATCTCTGCGTGCCTTGGGGGCAGGGCCAGCATGGCAGGCCCAGGGATCGAAACTCTGGCCCCTGCACCTACTTGCAAGTGCTTTAATCTGCTGAGCTATTTGGCCGGCCCTTAAAAAATGTTTTTAAATTTACAACTTTTTTTTGTTTTTTTTTTTGGTAGAACCGGGAATTGAACTGTTTTTCTTGTTGTTTGGTTGGTTGGTTGGTTTTTTTGACACAGGGTCTTGCATTGTAGTTCTGGCTGGCTTTGCCCTCACTATGTAGTATAGGTCTCTTGAGTGCTGAGATTACAGGCGTGTGCCACTACACCCAACTAATTTTTTCTCCAAGAACATTTCATAGATATTGTTTTGCAATTCTAATTTCAACACATTAGGACTCGTATAATTATTAGTCTTTTTGTATTATTAAGGTTAATTGATGATTCCATTGTTTTTTGTTGTTTTGTTTGTTTGTTTGTTTGTTTGCGGTACTGGGGATTGAACTCAGGACCCTTCACTTGCAGGCAAGCGCTTATTCTACAGAGCTATCTCCCCGGCCCCTCCATTGTTAGTTTTAAATGATAACGATAGTAACATGGCTCTCATACTTTTGTGGTTTTACTTTTGTTGTTGTTGTTTCCTTATTTTGAGACAGGATATTGCTATGTAGATCAGGCTGGCTTTGAACTCACTATGTAACGCAGGCTGGCCTTAAACATTCAGTGATTCTCCTGCCTCAGTGTCCTGTGTGCTAGAATTACAGGAGTGTACCACCACACCTAGCTCATACAGTTACTTTTAAAAATAAATGTACTTAGGGCCAGCCAGATAGCTCAATGGATTAAAATGCTTGCTTAGGCAGATGCAGGGCCCGGGTTCAATCCCTAATGTGCAGTGCCAGCCCCACCATCGGAGCACACTGAGATGGTAACTGAGACTGGGGGTGGTGATGTGCCTGTAATTCCAGCCCTTGGGAGGCTGAAAACAGGAGGATCACTACAAGTCTGATCTGTGTAGTTAGACCCTGTAGACCTTGTACTAAATACATTTTATTTTATTTTATTTTATTTTATTTTATTTTATTTTATTTTATTTTTTGCGGAACCGAGGATTGAACTTAGGCCCTTGTGCTTGCCAGGTAAGCACTTATTCTACTGAGCTATCTCCCCGGCCCCCAAATACATTTTTAAAATGTATTTAATATAAAAAAGTGAACTCAAAGATTTTCCTTATATGGCATGGGTAGATTTGGCTAAAACCAAGTACAAAGGCTGAGATGGATGTTTGGGAAACAGCCCCATTGCAGCATCTGGTTTTATGGTGAGGCATCGGATGTTTCAGTATATGAATGGGAGGGTCCCAATTTAGTCCATAATATGTCACATATGAGATGCTTTCATCCCATCCCACCAGCCCCAAAAGTCTCAACCCCTTCTAACACCAACTCTGAAGTCTAACACCCAGAATTTCATCTGAGTAGTATCCAAGTCAGATACACATAATTTCATCAAGATGTAATTTATCCTGAGGCAGAGTTCCTCTCCAGCTGTGAATCTGCAAAATTAGACAAGCTAGGTGCTCCCAAAATGTAATGGTGGACAGGCACAGGATAGACATTTCTATTTCAAAAGGCAGAAATCAAAAAGGAGGAAGACAGTGAACACCCCAGCCATTTACAGCTTTCAGAGTCATCGGAGATGCTGAAGTGTTGTAGATAAGCCTTATCTTTGCATCAAAAATAATTCAAGTGGGCCCGAGAGATGGCTCAGTGGAATAAGAGCTTCCCTGGCAAGCGCAAGGGCCTGAGTTCAGTCTCCGGTTCCACGCTCCCCCCAAAAAAGAAAAAAAATAATAATAATAATTCAAGTGTTAGTAATAACTGCAAATTCCATTAGTTCAGGTGAGACCAGGCGCATTCAAGGTGGTAAGGCCATAGATCCATGGCTTCAAATGGCATGGCTTTCCTGTTTGTAACCATGGGTTATTATTGGTGTACTGTTTCATCTCTTTCTAAGAGCAACATTCAAGGCCATTGAGAGAGAGAGAGAGAGAGAGAGGATTAGCAACCTCAGCAGGACAGATTCCATTAGGA